AAGCGCGAACCTCCCTACCCCGCACCGCATTGAAACAAGTCTGGCTTCTGACCCAGATGAGTTTCTGGTCTTTTGAGTTTGAAACAATCATATAGATGAAAATTATCATAAGAGAATTTTGTATGAAAAAAATCCATCAGAGGTTTTAAAGAAATTAAGAGAATATAAGAAGAATGAAGTAAATGTAACTCATACATCTGTAAGAACTTGTTTCTATCAGATTAAAATAAAGAAAGATGAAAAAATAAATGATTTTTGCGAACGCTTTGACTCTATAGTTAGAGAATATGAATCATGTGAGGATGCAGTGCCTCTCACAGAGCAAGAAATCAGATCGTCATTCTATCAGGCGGTAGCTTTTAATGTACCAGAATTGAGGAATGCCGATTTGATCAGAAGACAAACAACTCAAAAAGAAATGAATATTGATGAAATAAAATCATTTATTACGCAGTTAGAAGCAGAAACAAAGAGTATAGAGAAAAAGTAATTAGAAAAACCAGAGGCTAGAGCACAGAGAGCGAAATTAGAAGCAGACGGAAAACCTGTAAAGTGCTACCGGTGCAATAAGCTAGAACATATGGCTAAGGACTGCCTGCTCATTGAAACAGAAGCTTGGTTCTGTTACCATTGCCAAGAAGTTAGAGGTCACAAAGAAGACAATTGTCCAAACGCCAGAGCACAGGCTGGAAGATTTAGAGGAAAAAGGTATAAAAATAAAAATTTTAATAAAAATAAGCCGAATAAAGTCGAACAAACAAGCACCAAAAGAGTAAATAATAGAGGAAAGATAGTTAAACTAAACAACAAGGCTCAAGCAAAGAAAGCAACACTGACCGCCACAGCTAAAGAAGATAAATCAGAGTCAGGTACGATTAGATTAATAAAGAGTAGAGATAATTCAAAAGAATTAATTAATTTTATAGCAGATTCGGGTGCAACCGATCATATTGTTAATAAAAGCGTGATTCTGTCAAACTTTGAAAGGTGTGAAAATCAGATTATCAAATGTGCGAGTAAAAATAAATTTGCAAATATTGTAATAGACGGTAAAGGAGATCTTTTGTTGCGAACGGGAGAAAAAGAAGAGGAAGAAATTAGATTAACAGAAGTAATAGCAACAGGAGATGTATCAGAGAATCTACTGTCTTTGAGAAAATTAGCAGAGGCTGGTTTTAGCATTTAGGGTAGACCGGGGACAAAAGTAACAGGGTACAGTTGTAACATCGTGAATATTTCTTAAACTATAAAAGGTACGTGTGTGGGACCGCGAGGCGAGATTCGCTAGATGGAGCGGCATTTGTTCCTTAGTTCATTGCTGCCCCTCGCGGAACGTGCACGTGTGCAGAAGAAGAAGTTACTTTTTTCCTTCCTAAAGTAAGTTTTCTTACGTGCATAAAATCTGAAATACTTTTTGTTCTTTATGCCAAAGGTATAAGGTTTTATTTTTATATGTTTTAGTGATTATCTATGTTGATGATTTGCATAATTACGATTGACTTTCATCCAGATATTTCTGTAAAAAATTTACTTCGAATCATAAAATATCATTAGGGGACAATTGTAACATCAATGCCTGGGGACAGTTGTAGCGTTACAATTGTCACCGTTGCTCGGGGACAACTTCAACTTAACCTAATCCCGTTTGGTTGGCCTTATTTTAGTGTTGTTTTTTACAATGTTATTTGTATTTTTTTTCGTAGAATGCTGCGAACAAGAAAACGCAAGACGCAACGGGGCACGAAAGAAGTAAATTTATACGAACAGGCGTTTGAAGAGGTTATGAAGGGTCAGTTATCCATTCGTGCGGCTGCCAAAAAGTATGACTTGTGTCATGTATCTGATGAGATACAAAAGGAAGAAAGATTCTACAAATGAGGAAGATCACACATCTTCTGTTACCATGGGGTATAGAAGCTGCAATAAAATTTTCTCCACGGAACAGGAAAAAATCATGGTGCAATATATTATAAGAGCTGCTGAAATATATTATGGTCTTTCACCAAAAGAAATTCGGCGACTTGCTTATGAGCTAGCCAAAAAATATGATTTGAAAAGACCTCCCCAATGGGACGAAAACTGTCAAGCCGGTGTAGATTGGTTCTCCGCTTTTATGAAGAGAAATCCTGAATTATCAATAAGATGTGCACAACCGACCAGTCTTTCTAGAGCTACGAGTTTTAATGCTACAAATGTAAAATTATTTTTCGACAATTTGGCGAAAGTATTGGACAGATATCATTTTGAGGCTAAAGACATATATAATGTCGACGAAACTGGTATGACTACCGTTCAACGACCTGACAGAATCGTAACAAAGAAAGGAACAAGACAAGTCGGAGCTCTGACATCGGCGGAACGCGGAACACTAGTTACAATGACTGTGGCTGTTAATGCTATTGGAAATTCTATTCCTCCTATGTTTCTTTTCCCGCGGCTTCGGTATCAAGAACATTTTGTGACAGATGGTCCTGTAGGATGTATTGGAGCTGGTAATCCCAGTGGATGGATGCAGGAAGAACAATTTCTCATTTTTTTAAAGCATTTCCAAAGATATACTAATTCATCAGTCAATCATGAAGTTTTACTCTTGCTCGATAATCACTCTTCACATATTTGTATACAAGCATTGGATTTCTGCAAAGAGAATGGTATTGTGGTTCTTTCGTTTCCGCCGCATTGTTCGCATAAATTACAGCCCTTGGATCGTTCAGTATATGGACCTTTCAAAACAGCTTTTAATTCTGCGTGTGATGGATGGATGAGAAGTAATCCGGGTAAAACGATGACTATATACAATATCCCAGGAATTGTAAAAACAGCTTTGCCTCTAGCTCTTACCCAAAGTAATATTCAGGCAGGATTTAATTCTACTGGGATTTTTCCATTTAACAGGGATAAATTTAGTGATTTAGATTTTGCTCCATCATATGTTACGGATAGACCAATGCCTGGATCGAATATTCTAGATTCCAATACAAGTTTACAATCCACAAATAATGATACTGAACCTCAAACATCCGTCAGAAATAAGATTGCACTTCAAATATCCACAAACACTGACAACGAAAACCAAATAATGCCAACATTTGATTTTACTGTTCCGTCTATTCCTGAAAAAACCAACACCAATGTAGGACTTCAACAAAACGCGCAGATTGAGTATGAAGAAAAGCGAAAGAAAAGAGTTAAAAAAAATCTTTCGAAATTGCAAAGTAAACCAAAGAAATCTAGCCGTGCTACCGCTAAAAAACAAAAAAAATAGATTTTTTGCGTGATTGTTCCTTTATTTTCAGTTTTTATATTAATATTAGATTTATATTTATATTCCTTTTCTAAAAAGGAGATGTGAAGTTTATTGTTGCCGCTTTTCCGCGATGCCGATTGGTTTCCTTGCTGCGCTTACTTCATTTGCAGCTGTCATTGTATATTTTGACAGTTGTGTATAATAGGGTTAATAGTGAAATGTTAAAGATAAATAGCGCGCGCGTAGCGCGCGTCTGTAGTGTCTAGTTATTATAAATTTTTTATGTTTATATTAAAAGGAGAGAGAGAGAGAGAGAGAGAGAGATTTTCTGTTTCTTTTTCATTTTATTATGGTTAATTTTTTAAATATATATGATTATATGTATAAATAGTCTTTCAGTTGAGAAAACAGTATTATGTGTTTTTGTTTGCTATAATGTAAAAAAATACTGATATTGTCATGTAACAAATTATTTCATCATTAAAGTTGCATTTCTTATAGAAAATTCGTAAGATTGATTAATTAAACCTACTAAATAACCATTATTTTGTTTATAGATGATGTGGTTTAATCGTCCCCCTCTGCTGTTACAATTGTCCCGGGGGTTGGGACGGTTGTAACAGTATTCCTCATATTCTTTAAACAATAATAACTTTCTTCCTAGTTACATTACTGAATTCAGCACAAGAAAATTTTGTAGTCAAATAAATTCTACATCTAAAAAGGTACAGTTTTTTTTTCGGTAAATATTATATTTTAACTGTTATAAAATCTTAAACTCAAAATGTTACTTTTGTCCCCGGTCTACCTATAGATAGTAAACGTTTACGAATGGCTGATCGTGTGAGTTTGAGACCGTGCGGATCAATAATTGTTAATCGTTCAAAGAACGACCGCGTTTCGAGTAATACGACGACAAGCAGAGCGATTCACAGCCCTACCTGTCTGCTCGAGCGTTCTCGTGCGAATGATAACGTGTTGATGATCTTGTTCACGTGCCGGCGCAATCTGTGCGCGTCGAAGACAAACAACAAGCCTGTATATTAGGCAGTTTTACTGCTACGAAATATCTAACTTATTATGAAGTATCTTAAAATGTACGATAAATAAACAATTACGACGCATTACGCGCTTCGTTTGATTTTAGTGTCCTGAAGATTAATTATTTATGTAAATTAATATATCCATTACTGTTACCTTTTATCAAATTTTTATATTTTAAGAATAATAAAACTGTGTTGAATTAATTTAGAAAATTAGATTAAATGCAGGAACTGTGATGATTTAATAATTTCAATTTAATCCTGGTTGATTTCTAATCAGAACTATAAACTGTTGCACTATTTGTAAGAATTGTGTGTGCATATTTTATTCGTGCAAAAATGGTTAAATTGGTTCTGACAAAACTTGTTTCTTACGATCGAACTTAGGACGTTGGCTACATGCCATACTAGAATTTCGTTTGAAA